TGTTAGAAAATCTGTTGCTCTCTGTATTTTATGTCGAGAGCAGACAAAATAATACAAGTTTCGTCCCGTGTATGTGCTCAAGTTTAATTACACGGCGGGGGCATTTCTGCAAATTCTAAACGAGCTGTAACAGTGAGTTTTTAAAGTTCATACGCCACGAAGCCATAGCATCGCACAACAACACTTTGTTGTACGTTTGCAACAATGAAATTATTGCCCGTTTGTTGGCGGAACCGTATCAAATATTTATACGAAATTATTTCAAAACAACAAAAAAAAAACACAACAAACATGGGAAAGCCCGAAACTGCAAGTTCTAAATAAAAGGTTGAATGAAGAAGTAAAAGAGAGCAACAACAACTACAAAAAAAAAACGACTGAACACAGCGGATTTATTTCAGCAGCTTTGTCAGATTGAAATATTACTTTTGAGATGCTGCGGTTCGGGTGGAAGCGACGTGTATATATAAAAAAAAGACACGATAATTACAGTAAAAAATCTGCGTACCGGAAATAAAGAGAGAAAAGAAGGGAGAGAGAAAAAAATGTTGGGATGCTGAAACTTGTTTGTAACGAAGAGAAATCTTTTTTAACGTGCGCATCATTAGATTCCCGGTCCCGTTTTGTATCTGGAAACTTAAGGCAAAATATTACAAACTGTTTCTTCGAGTCATTTGTGTGGCCATTTGTTTAAGACCCACAGCGTTTTCCCATCAATCTACCCCGCCCAGAAATCACATAGAATTTTTTCACATTAATCCTGAGAAGAAATACAGCAAAAAAAAAACTTACAAGTTATTCAGTCACACAAATATATGTTATTAATAACGACGGTGGTGGAAAAAAATGTTTGGACTGTGAGGATATTATAATATTATGGACATTATGTGTGTGTGTCTGAATGGAGTTGTCGGGAAAAAGGGCAGCAATAAATCAACGGCACAATCGTCAACATTAAGACTGGTGGAAATCCATCAGTTAAAGGCCCCAATTTGTCACGATACGTCCACGCGGTTAATGCGGAATCACGGCCCGATTCGTTTTCTATTATTATTTTCTTCTTTTTTTTTTTGGTTTCCGATTTGGTGCTTTCTGTAATAGTATATAGACACCAATCAATGGATATTACATAGGAATCATATGTGGTTAAACCACGATACAAACATTTTCAATATTAAATTATCTGGTTTAGTATGAATAGCTTTAGTTATACACAACTACAGCATAACACGCACCAAAAACGCAATTCCTAGGATTAAGTAATACATCAATAGCTATTAGAATTTCAAATTATATAAAAGAAGTATAAAAATTTATAAAAGAATTATATAGGTTTCAGGATTTTATAATATTATAAGAAATAACTTATTTAACAATATATAGCAGATAAAAATGGTAAATTTTATATAAATTAAATTTTATAAATAAAACTATACTTAAAGATAGTTTGTAAGTTTACTTGAATGGAATATAGTAAAAATTACCGTTTATAGAAACTATCAAGTAAGTTTAATTATTAAACAAATTGCAAATTTGGTATAAACAGTAAAAGTACTATTTTTTTAAGGCAATTGAAATTTGAGAGTTAAAGGTAGTTATTAAGCAATAGGTGTAGGATGGTATTGCAAATTTGAAATATCTTTCAATTAATTTAATTTTGTTAGTTAAGCAATAAATGTGGTTTAGTACTTAGACAGATGAACAAATTTTGTTATAAATATACATTATATTTTAGAAACATTTTATATATTGTAAAAAGCACTATTTATAGAAACTGTATAAAGTTCATCAAGTAATTATAATGTTAAATTTAACGAAAGTTTTTTTTAATTAAACATTAAAATTTTAATTGAAAAGAATTTATTACGCTATTTTTATATTATTTTATAATTAAACAAGATAAATCTAATTAATACATCTGTGTAATGTGTATTCCCATCATTTCAATTTATTTATTTCTGTTTATTTTATTATGTTTATTTCAATTGTAATTATATCAATGTTTTTTTTTTAATTAAATTATTATTTAAACATTATTTTTATTGAAATTCAATTAAATAAAGATTAATAAGATACTTATTTTACTTAAATTTAAAGAAAAATCAAAATATATCAATTTTACCCCTAAATTTTGTCAAAATTATTTAATCCACATAAATAAAATTCCTGAATCTGCATAATTTGAATTCAAAAACAAAGTATTAGATAATATTTATTTCATTTGAATTTTCATATATTAATTTATAATAATTGGAATTCTAATAGAAAAAAAAACTAAAAAAATGTTAGTGAATTTTTCGTGTAATGTAAAGAAAAATATAAATTTGATTCTAATAATAATATTGTATAAAAACTATTGTTTCTTGAATATTATTAACATTATGTCATTTATAATATGTAAATTGACTATGCAATTGAGAATAATAATCATGCATTCTATATTAATCAGTTAATATAGCAGGCATCCACTTTATTATAATTACAGACCAGAATTAGATCGATTCGTAGTGGCCGCAAACAGACAGATACACATGCTTATTGCAATTTATAATAAGTATAAGTGGCGCTTTGATCTATGTCCGAGCATCAATTTGACCTATGAAGGTTTGATCAAATGGCTTGAAAGCAGTTGTGACCCGGAATATTGCTTGAGGATGAAACGCAAGGAATTTGCCTTCGACGTAACCTACGCAGTGCCATTTGATTCCCTATGATCAAGCATGTGCAGATAAAAGGAGGAATCCCTTCTTTTACCTAATGCTTCATTTAATTTTCATTCCTACAAATACACACGAACAAAGTCTACGACTTCCACGTAACTACAACATGATTACAATTTATTTATGCACTGTGCATCCAATTTGCTTTGTTATTTAACAAATATGATTTAAATCAATATTGATGTATACCTGACGTTAATGATAATATGATGCTTATTTACTTTTCTCCGTATTGCATCAAAGCTAGTTAATTAACACATACTCATTAATCAAGAAACAATATTTGTTAATTAATATAATGTAAATTCTTTTAAGCATATCAAGTGTTGTTTCTTAAGATTTTTTCAATTGGACAAAATATTATTTTACTTGATTAATAGTTATTTTTTTTTTTTTAATATATTTTAATCTCATTTCAAATATAAATAAATAATAAAATACTTTGAATAAGAAATAATATCTTCTTAAGCATATCACAATTACTGTGTACAGTTCTCGAAGATTTTTCAATTGGAATTGGCTAATATTCAGCTCCCGGGAAATCACGGGTAGGACCCACTAATAACAATAAATATAATGTCTTAAAATGAGTGATTGTTTCAAGTGTTTCATCACATTTCAAATCAAAATTTATAAAACAACTTTATTTAAAAATAGAAACGTTTTTGTATTGTAATTAACAAACAGGAAACGATTTCCCGCAATTTCGTTTACAAATATAAATACATAATAAAAGCATATTGAAAATAATTGTAAATTATTGTTAATTGTTAAGGTAGACAAGACAAGGTAGACAAGAAACAATATTTGTTTCCAATCACGGTAATTTCTCGGGAAATCCCGGGAAGACTCACCAATTACACTGTACTAAAATGGTATTTTACTTGATTGATTAAAATTAAATTAAATTGTTTAATTGTAAAACAAGTTGAAAAAAAAATAAGTGAATATAAATTAGAATGAGAAAATGAGCCAATCGTTCGATATCGAAGTTTTCAAGTTCACAAAATCCGTCTTCGATGAAAAAAAGCAATATATAAAAAAAAAATGCGGTAGGTAAGTGCTCGTTAAGTAACGTTACGTGGGTCGAAATTCGTATTTGAATAGCCCTCACCCACGTTATTTCGCTTGAGCTGACACCACCAATTATTATATAGCATCGAATTCTTAAATATAGCACATCCATTTTCCGACGAACCAATCATAAAGAAGTGTTGATATCTTTTAGACCGCAAAATAAATACGCAACAACAAAAAAATCCAATTGTATCGCCGGTAATTGAAACTCACTTTACAGAAATCCTAAAGAGGTTTTCAATTAAGGTTGCAGTATAAAAAATAAAATTGTTATTATATTTTTGCCTGCGATGCTCCGAGGATTAAGGACGAGACTAATGGAAATATGAATTCGAGTAAGCTCTAAGCAAACTTCCGAAGGAGCAGAAGAAAAAAAATACAGCAAACGGTATAAGAAGCCGGGATTAATACGGCTAAGGTGTTTTCATTCTTATTACAAAAGAAAAACAAATACGAAGTTATGTTAGTTAATTACAGGAGGGAACGAAATGTTGTTGTTTTGTTTTTGAAATACCGACCAGACTTAATTACTTTCAAGGAATAAAAATAACTGTTGTATTAAAGATGTTGAAATGTGAGTTATCTAATTGCAAGAAATAAAAGTAATTGCGTGCTGAAAATATTTATTTCATTTGTTATTGGCATTGTAAGGGATTATTGATGTTTTGTGAATTAAATAATACATGTGCATGAAGTTTTTCGCGGATGCGCCGGGTTTAATGAGAAAGAAACATGTGTTATGTGTGGAGGGTGATATTGAATACTTTGTATGTTTTACTGCAACTAAAAAAATAAATGATAATGCACTGCAGGATATGCACATCCTGTGGGAAGGATGTATTTTTCAGGAGATCGTAAAGCAAAACAGAACGAAATATATAAAAAAAAACTGAAAGTAGCCTGGTTCATATGCAGGAATTGCATATTTATTTCGCTATTTTTGTTTCCATCCATTAGGAATATGAAGATATTTGGGTCACATAATCCCGTGTCGGAAGTACACTTTAAGTGGTTAAGTGTATTTATAATTCGAGTTATTAAATTTGTAGTAAAGCTGGTAAAACGGGGTCAAGAGGAATTTGTTGTCGGCAATTAATTAGGCATTCGGGGTTGCATTAGTTTCATTGTCGCAATTAAACTGCTTAAAGTTACGGTTATTGGGAGGGTGGTGTGCTTTTAAAGTGAGGGGGTGTTGTTACTCACCAGAGATAGGATCACCGTTGGTATAAGTCGCGGTCTTGTTCGTGGGTGGTCTGGGTGTATGTTTAGTCTAGTTTGAATTATCCGAGGGGGTTGGTTTTGTACACACGGCTCGCGGTTACCGGTACGAATAGGAAAAGGGGGTGCTGAAACTCGGTTCAGGATCCTTATCCTCTCTCTATCTCTCTCTCTTAAGGGTTTGTCGAGTGTCCCGCTGCAAGCGTGGCGCACGACTGCCTGCCGGAGCGACGCGCTATTGACTACATACCAACCCCCGAGAGCGAAAGACGCGCCGCGTCGCGGCGCCCGCACCGAACTCATCCCGACACCACTTGGATCCCTTTATGGGTCATCACCGTTCAAGCGATCTTAGTTTTATGATGTATTTCTATGTATATTTACCCCACTATTTCAAGCATCCCTCTGCATTTGTCCAAACTATAAACCGCGTACTCAACTTGTTAACCATCCACCCTTCCGTAACCGCAAAACAAAAAAAATACTTACTATTACTACTTAACTCTGCTTAACTTATGTTGTACCAAGTAAACTACGTATATCATTAAATTATTGTCAATAGCGCTTTGTACAAGTTATTCATAACTTTTTTATTACGATATTAAAAAATACAAATACTTTTATTTATTAACATTAAACTGTTTCAATTATTATTCAAAATTATTATTAACAATATTTATTACAAAAAAATAATACAAATTCTTAATAAAATATGTGTATTTTTTTTCAACAAATAAATTCAATATTTTCTGTTGAGTTATGTAAAACTACAGAAAATGTTACTTTTGTTTCCATATCTTGTCTAAATAGTAGATAAGAGACGTCATCGTTAGAATCAAAATATATTGCCAATTAGATCATTAATTTATCCACATTATAATTTTCTTAATTTTCATCCTATTAAGTTTATTAAAAAAAACTATTAATGGACTTCAGTTATTGTTAAAATACTTTACATTATATATGTTTTTCTCCATTTGCAAAATCTTATTTTTCTATTATTTATAAGTACATTATTTTTCTTATGTGTCCAAATTTATTCATTACATAATAATACAAATTAATATACTTAGACTTATGCAAGGCTCAGCAACATTTTCTACCTGTGAGGCATATTTCAGAATCATGGAAGTTTGGCGGACCAATTGAAGTAAAGAGGCTTATAGTTTTGGATTGTTTATTTCTAAATTGCGTTTGTGTCAATTTTATTAAAAAAAACTACAAGTATTTGTTGTTCAAATTTAAAATTTTGATAATTGAATAATTGAACCGCGAGCACTTAAAAATTGCTTTGCGGGCGTATTTTCGAGTATTATTCATATATTTTTCCAATGCGTTTGATAATCTTATTAACCTTTCATAACTACAAAATATTAAAAAACTTTCCATTTATGCTCAAAGCAATTTAATTTGTTTTGTATAAAATAAAGGTCGGCAACCTTCTTTGAGCTAAGACCCATTTTTATGTTAAACACATATTTAGAGATTCGCACGCAGTGATCAGTAACGCAGGATGACCAATAAAATCAATGATTCTTTAATAATGAAAAGAGCCATGAGAACTCATTCAAAGAGCCACATGAGGCTAGTATTTGAAAATATATCTATTACAATATGATGATCATTTATTAAATTTTAATTTACAATCACTATAAATTTATCGATTTAACTATTTGTACATAGATAATCGAATATAAACTACTTCATCTATTCAAAGCTGTTTATCTATAGTAAATAAATCAAATCCATTTAACAAATTTTACCAGTAAACAGGCAAACAACATGTGATAATTAATTTATTAATTAAGCTATTTCGCACAATTTTATAACAAATACGTTATAATTAAAGTTATTAAATAAAGCATTAAAGTACGTCATTTCTATTTTTTATATGAAATTCTTTTATTTCTATTCTATTTTTATCAAGAATAATATATATGTATTTATTTCACAAAATTTTATATATTTTCACTTAGTTTGAATCAATATTATATAAATATTAAATTAGGAGTGGAAAGGTTGCGGTCAATAACCCATTTCATATGTATTTTCATTAAATTAATAATCGTGCAAAGAATAAAAAATATAACATAAAATGAATTGAATTATATTTCATTGATACAAATTTATACAACAAATATATCTTCAAACGTAATCGTGCGGTTGCTTACAAAAGTACTGTTTCTGGTCCATGAGGTTTTACCCGAGAGTAAAAAATAGAAGCAAGCAAAATAAAAGCACGTGTGATGTGTCTGAAATGCGGGAGACACGAAACAACGTGGGAAATCAATAAGAGATGATTTTTTTAAGAAGAGGGTTCCTCTTTCACGTATTCCTTACGAAGCAAAGAGTGACACATCCATTTATATAAAACGCTGAATTTTCAAATCACTTTTTTTATATCAGACCGCATGCATTCCAAGCATATTGAAAATATTGCCCATTATAAATTTATATAAAAATGTCAATGTGAAATTGTACAAAATGATAGCTTTAACGTTGAAAATAAATAATACAAAATTATTTTTTATTACAATAATTTTACAATCTTTTAGGTCATTATTTCATAAGGCTTTAGTGATATTTGTCTTAATATTAAGAAAACCAGAGGTCGGTAACCTTTTTGCAGTAAAGAACTATTTTTAAGATTTTCCTTAAAAAAAAAAGTCTAAATTTTTGTATGCATGAATTTTTGCTGTTCCATATAGCCAAATTTTCAAACTTGTTATAATAATTATATAATCGATATATTTTCGAGATGTTTTTAATATTATATGTATTTTCCATATTATTATTATTGATTATAGCCGTGAGTTAAATATAATTTTGTACTTGAATGGGATGAATTCATTGACTCTAAATATAGTAGCAATTAATGCGGTCTCGAGAGTTGTGTATTTGCGTGTCCTAATTCTGTTATTGTTCACCTAAATATTTTACTTCAGATCTGAAACAAGTAACGATGAAGATATTTTTTTTAATTTTTATAAAATATACATGCTTATTATTTATTTATGTAAATAAATTAATAACTTTATATTATCGGAATTTCTCAGACGCCTCGCAAGTAACGATATTAAGCGCTTATGTTATTTTTTTAAGTAAATTATTATATTTTATATTTGGCATTATTTAATTACATAACATTTACCTAAATTAAATATTATATATTCTTCAAATTTTATTTCTTCGTTTAGATTCTATAACTTTAGTTGCCACTTATTCTAAATCAAATAAACGTGAAATAAAATATTGAAAATACTAAATAATTAAATTAATGCCATATTTTGTATAAAATTAATATGTTATAAATCAATAAAATGCAAAAAAAATATATAATATTGTGTATGAAACAAACCTAACAAATTTAGTTTATTTCTTTCTTATAAAGGTTGTCCCAAATTAAAGCAAGATTTGAATTTGTTGCCATTTGTGCAGTAAAGTGTTGGCAACCCCAAAAAATAAACAATTTGACAGCTGAGAGGTTAGGGTATTGAGCATCAACAAGTGGATGCTGATTTTTCTAGCAAAATCATCCTAAACGATGAAGCACATTTTCACCTTGATCCGGAACCGGAGAACCCACATGTGATTGTTGAAAAACAAATGCATCCACAGCGTGTCACTGTTTGGTGCGGATTTTGGGCATCATTGGACCATACTTTTTTGAAAATGAGACTGGTCAAGCAGTTATTGGTATTGACTCGATATCGCAACCTGATAACACACTTCTTTCTGCCTCAGTTGGATGATATTGATATAGACGACATGTGGTTTCAACAAGATGGTGCCACATGTCATACAGCCCGTGAAACAATTCAATTACTGCAAGAGACATTTCCTAGTTATATACTCTCTCATTTCCGTGATCAGAATTGGCCCCCTAGATTTTGTGATTGAACACCATTAGATTTTTTTATGGGGTTATTTGAAGTCAAAGGTCAATGTCTACAATCCCACAACCACCCGTGCATTACAGGAGGAAATTAAACGCTGCATCAACGAAATTCAGCTACATTTATGCAAAATGGTCATGGAAAATTTCGATAAAAGAGTGCGTATGTGCCAGCAAAGCTGTGGAGGCCATTTGCCCGATGTGTTATTCCATAAATAACCCTATCCTATGTATTTTATGATTCAATAACAAAATCACAACCTGAAGACTAAAAACTGTGTTTTCTATTTATTTCAAATCTTGCGTTAATTTTGGGACACCCTTTACATGATATAAATAAACAAAATTAAGTTAAGAAATTATATAATATATTATTATAAAACTATGCAAATGATGATTTACTATTGTTAACAAATCGATTTAACTATAAACTATATTATTGTATATAATTTATATTTTGGTAAAAACGTAAACGCAAAATCATTATAATGGATGTAACTGGACGAAACGCAGCCAGTGATTCCATTCGATTCGAAACATTTCATTTGGGCGAATCCATTATTTTTTTTTTAATTCTCCTGAAACCATTTCCCCGTACATTATTAATTAAATATGCAATTATTTGCATAAAACATTTTGCAATGCTGCTGCATCCACTAATTAGCAGCGATGCATAATTGAAAATGTTGCAAGTTTGCATTTATTTCCTGCTACCCCGAAAATCCTGCAATTGATTTTAATACTGTCCAAAACGTAAATCTGTATCAAAATAATAAATGGAAACATTTACAAATATTAATATAAAATATATTAACTCATAGAAATGAAATAAACAAATGAATTCATTGATAATCAAAAAATGAAAGCGCTGCATTTGTTTGTGATTCATTGATATTGGATGATATGAAAAACTGTTTACAGATAATTGAATAATAAATAGAGATTATGTGTACAGATTTCATTGATTTTTTTTATATCAGATTTTATTACTTGATTAATTTTTCATGCTTAAATTAACAATAAATTTTAATTAATTAATAGAGTAAAGATAATAATAGTAAGATACATTAAAAAATCAGAATATAATATCTTCCCGGGAACGAAATCACGGGAAATTATCAGATTTTTTGCAAATATAATCATAATTTTAAAAATACCTTATCATAAAACTACTTAATGTTTGTTGATAAAAAAAAATAAAAAAAGAATCAATAATTGAGATAAGAAACACATGATTTTATTAAGTGAATTATAACTATTTCTTATCTATATTCTATACACAAAACAAATAAAATTATCTGTAAAAATCTAAAAATTTCTTTGATTATTCGTTTATATTTTTTTGTGTAATTTTATTCATAAACTGTTCATCAATGTGAACATTGAGTAAATTTAAGATCGCTGTTGACATTAGGTAGGTAATCTTTCCCGGTGGATAGTTACCATTATGATGATTTTGAGCCTGTGATCACTGCCACGTGGGTAGGACGACTTTACCATTCGGCCGAAGGTCCATATGCTGAACCTCGTTCATTTCACTGTCCATCTGTGGACGATGGCCCTATTACTGCAAGCACCGAGAGGACTCACAAAGGGCAAGGGCCTGGCTTGACCAGGATTTGAACCTGCTCCCACTACCTCGTGGGTAGGTCGACATAACCATTTGGCTATTAGTCGCACTGTATTATATAGAATAGTAAAATATTACTAAATAAATTTCATACTCTTTCTTATGTAAGACCTATGGTCAGTAGTTCTTGGCAATGTTTGTTATTTTACTATTATAAATAGTTTCTTGACAAAAACGTAATTATTCTTTTATAATGAATATTAAGGTAAATTGTCGAATAAATGAAATATAAAGTTGGAAGTACTTGAGATAATAAATATTGTGTTTAATATATCGTGAATTTGGGGTGTAGTTCAAGAGAAAAATATGTATCGAAATGAAATATGTATCGAACTTATGTTCGTCGCGTGGAAGATCTCCGATTCGAAAATAATGAAATCCAATAAATCCGAGTCTCATTTCTATTAAATTTGGTAGAATTGATAGGAATCGATAAACAATTCTCAAAAGTTGAGCTCTCAGAGTGCGAAAGCAGAACGAATAGAAGTAGTAGAGGTGGGTGAAATTTGCTGTTTTGGAATAAATCGGAAATTGATCTTAAGAATCAGGACACGCTTTTCCCGCGAACGCTTTCTCTCGTACTCATCCTCATCCTCGTCCCGATATCCTCATCCTGCCGTCAGGATTATACTTGACGCACGCTCGTATATTATGTTGTCGCGCGTCCTCCGAAAGTTTAGCGTGTTGCGGGGCGGTCGGAACGGGGGGGGGGGCGCTTGCTTGAAAAAGCACTGCTAATAACTTCGGGGCACGCAGTTATGAGACAACGGAACTTTCCGGACCGACGAAAGCGAATTAAAATCGTGCCTTGATATTTATATCTCAATTAGACAATTTAACGGACACAAAAAAAACAAACGGCGACAGAAAGAAACGATTATCATAATTGCCGTATCGTGCCATTAATTCCTTGCTCACAATGAAACTCATTATTTTAGTAAATAAATCAAGCTGACAATGAAATTAACGGATGAACCAATTAGTCTCTTTTGTAAAATATTTTATAAATAACATTGAATTGTTTTCATTTAATTGAGACGGAAATGAAATATTTTACAATATTATTTCAATGTACTGCATTATTTCCTGAATCAGTCAAATAAAAACATAGATGGAATGGGCTATTGACAATTCATATTTTATGTCGTTTAGTCGAGCGTTAGCATTACAGTTAATCGCGTTATACGAGAATTTTCCTCGTATAACACGGATAATACAAGTAGCATGTTTGGGATGACTTTAGTAATAATTTTTCACATTATAAGAACTAGCATTATACTAATATAATATATTTTTGAATTCTAATTAAGTTTTTTTGATCTCTTGTGAGCCCCCAACCTCATAGGCACTAAACACTGTGCTAGGCAATGCAGCCCTTACCGAAAAAAATACATATTAGTATTTGGAGATAGTCTTTCTATAATTGAAATAAGGATGTATTTGCTGATAAACCTTTTAACTCTCCGTTAGTTGCTCGGCTTCTGTGAGATGCCAGTAGGTATAAACAAACTATAAATTCTAAAACTGAGAAGTTAAGAGAATCGCTGAATTTAAAATAATAGAATTTCTTTTAAATTTTAGTATCTTTATTGTTTTCTTTAATCGTTAGTCATAATTCAAATCATCATTTAGATTCCGGCATTTTCGGTGATGTAGTCACGCATGTTTGGAACGCTGGAGTAAACTCCTGGGCTGGTTGGACGGGCGCATCCGTATCCCCAGGAGACAACACCAACGAGTTGTCCATTGACGACGAGTGGGCCACCAGAATCACCCTAGAAACAAAGGAAACAAAAATAAATAACTAAACTCTAAACTGTCAAATACAAGAAATGACATACTTGGCAGGCGTCCTTGCCACCTCCGTTAACTCCGGCGCAGATCATGCGGTCGGTGATGGCGCTGTCTCCGTATGCCTTCTTGCATTCCTCCTGGGAGATGATTCCAACGTGGACGGCTTGAAGTTGGGAAGGAGAGCCGCCACCTTCGGTAAGGGCACCCCATCCGGAAACAACGGAGTCAGAGCCAGCTGGGACTTCTTGGTTCAATCTTGGCAAACCGACTGGTTGAGCACCAGCTCCAAAGTCCAATGGATCGGAAAGCTCCAAGACGGAGATATCGTAATCAATGTTGTAGCTGTCGAATTTAGGATTTTGGAAGACGGCCTTAACTTGGACAACTTGTCCACCGGATCCCCTGATGGAAGATCCAGCGCGGACGCTCAAGGAGGAAGCTGGGGATCTACAATTTACAGTTAATATCATGTATTATAAAAGCATTGAAATTTGAGTACTTACCCATTGGTGCAGTGAGCAGCGGTGACGGCGAAGTACTTGCTGACAATGGAAGCACCACAGATGTGGCTTCCGTAGTATTGAAGAGACAATTGGTATGGGAAATCTTCGATTACAACGGTTTCACCACCAACGATGCGACCATCCAAACGTGGGGTCATTGGAGATGCTATAAATTAAAAAAATATAAGTAAACTTAAAGTTCTATTTAATGAATGTAAAAAATTGACTTACCAGCTGCGAGAGCCACGAGGGCTGAAACTAAAGCCAACTTGAACATTTTGAGTCGGTTTGATTAGGTCCTCAGCTAGGAAGCGAATTTATACTAAACCTACTTCCTTATCATCCATGATTTTAATACAATTTTATCACGTATTTCTTTATTTTTAGAAAAAAAATTGCTAATTATAAATCTATAAAAAGAATATCTTATCTAAAAAATATTATTTTTAAATGTTCTTAATATATAGTTATAATATTAAAGTTATTTGAAATATATAATTGAAAATTTATTGATATAAATCGAGTAATTCTTAGTATAATAAAAATAGATACGATTATCGTTATAATATACCAAAAATAATCATTATTTATCCTATTGATCGTGATTAATTTATTTGTATCTATTATTAATAAGCAATGAAAGGACACACATTTATGTCTTTTTTTTATATATAAATGTATGAATAATTTTTTTTTTTTATAAGAATGTAGGTAATAAAGACGATATAAATATGTATGTATAATATTTATAGAACTATAATTCACAGATTATCAAAAGTCATTAAGAAATTAAGTTAAGCAAGTTAATAAAAATAATACATTTCATTGCCAAAATTTCAATGTATTTTAAATAAATAGTAATTTTTCGAATAGTTATAATCGATAACTTTTATATAATAATATAATTAAATAATGTTATAATTTATAAGTATTATAAGATAACTATATGTAAAGGGAATCATCGAATACTTTGATCTTTCAATTGGTACTCTTATCTAAAAGTATATAAATAAAAACTCATTTTTCAAATATTTTTTTATAGCATAAAATCTATATATAGCTTATTAAATATTTTAAATTTATTTATTTGCACAATTTTATTATTCCTTTTTAGGACTATCTATCGATGCCATAAATTTTTACTACTAATTTTTAATAAATTATTAATTATAATACAAAACGACATAGTATTTATTAATATTTTTTTTATAAATTTATATATGAAAGTTTCTTTTTATTATTCAGATTCCCGCACTATCAGTGATAAAATTGCGCAAATTTGGAACGCTGGAATAAACTCCAGGATAATTTGGACGGGCACAACCGTATCCCCAGGAAACAACACCAATGAGTTGTCCATCGACGACAAGTGGACCACCAGAATCACCCTAGAAACAATTAAATAAACCAACTTTGAAATGTCTAATGGGAGATATGACATACTTGGCAGGCATCCATGCCTCCGTTAGTATATCCAGCGCAGATCATGCGGTCGGTGATGGCCGCGCTACCATAAGCACTCTTGCATGTCGCCACGGAGATAATTCTAACGTGAACAGCTTGTAGTTGAGAAGGTGAGCCGCCACCTTCTGAAATGGCACCCCATCCAGAAACAATGCAGTCAGTGTCAACTGGGACTTGTTGGTTCAAGCTTGGCAATCCAACTGCTTGAACACCAGCTCCAAAGTTCAATGGCATGGAGAGCCTCAAGACAGAGATGTCGTAATCTATGTTTTCTTTGTTATAATTGGGGTTTTGAGTAATGGCGCTAACCTGGACAACTTGTCCTCCTGATCCCCTGTAGGTAGATCCAGCGCGTATGGTCAATGAGGAAGCTGTCAATCTAGAAATTTACATTCCATTACATGAATATTGGTTAAAATTCTGTTAATTACCCGTCGGTGCAGTGAGCAGCAGTAACTGCGAAGTTCTGGCTGATGATGGAAGCACCACATATGTGGCTTCCAAAGTATTGAAGAGACAATTGGTAGGGGTAATCTTCGATTTCAACGGCTTCACCACCAACAATCCGATCATCCAAAGCTGGGATAATAGCGGATGTTGTTAATACATCAGTATAATAGTAGATTTTAATCGTAAGAAATACACTTACCAGCAGCGAGAGCCAAGAAGGCTGAGACTAAAGCCAACTTGAACATTTTAAATCGATTTGATAAATTCTACCACCGGTAACCGATTTTATAGTGAAGCAAAGCGCTTACCAGGACCGGTGCTGCGTCCTGTATTGGGTAAAACATACTTGTGATTCCCCCTTATTACCATGCATAAAACATGTTTCATCATCTTTTAAAGTTTTTTTATTTTTTTCATGCGATATTTTGCGAAAATATAAAGAATCCCCATTTAATTGTGCCGTCCTTGTAGCTTATCACTCTTCATTTAAATAATTCACAATCATTTATGATTTTATTTTTACAGTAAAAATATATTCATATAATAATAATTTATTGGCCAGGCAGCAAATATACAAACAAACAAACAAATACATCCTATAAATAAATATAAATGATAACAATAAAACCAAGTAATAATAATTAGAAAAAGAAATTGGATTCTTTGGATTTAAATTTCACGGAGAGGGTAAGGTATCGGTTATTTGTATCTATTATTTATAAGCAATGAAAGGACACAAATTTATGTCTTTTTTATATATAAATTTATGAATATTTGTTTATAAGAATGTAGGTAATAAGGACGATATAAATATTTATGTATAATATTTATAGAACTATAATTCACAGATTATCAAAAATCATTAAGAAATTAAGTTAAGCAAGTTAATAAAAATAATACCAAATTGCCAAAATTTCAATATATACAAATATTGAATTTTTAAATAAATGGTAATTTTTCGAATAGTTATAATCGATAACTTTTAAATGATAATATAATTAAATAATATTATAATTTATAAGTATTATTAAAATTTTCTTTATTTTTAGAATAAAACAGGTTCTTAGATAACTATATATAAAGGGAATCATCGAATACTTTGATCTTTCAATTTGTATTCTTATCTAAAAGTATATAAATAATAACTCATTTTTTTAAATATTTTTTTATAGCATAAAATGTATATATACTTTATTAAATATTTTAAATTTATTTATTTGCACATTTTTATTGGTACTTTTTACTGTCAATCTATCGACGCCCTAAATATTTACTACTAATTTTTAATTAATTATTAATTATAATTCAAAACAAAATAGTATTTATTATTATTTTTTTATACATTTATATATGCAAGTTTTTTTTATTATTCAGATTCACGCATTATCAGTGATAAATTTGAGCAAATTTGGAACGCTGGCATAAACTCCAGGATAATTTGGACGGGCACAACCGTATCCCCAGGAAACAATACCAATGAGTTGTCCATCGGCGACAAGTGGACCACCAGAATCACCCTAGAAATAATTAAATAAACAAACTATGAAATGACAAATTGAAGATATGACATACTTGGCAGGCGTCCATGCCACCGTTGTTAACTCCAGCGCAGATCATGCGGTCGGTGATGGCGGCGCTACCATAATCACTCTTGCATGAAGCCACGGAGACAATTTTAACATGAACAGCTTGTAGTTGCAAGGGAGAGCTGCCACCTTCTGAAAGGGTACCCCATCCAGAAACAACGCAGTCAGTGCCAACTGGGACATGTTGGTTCAAGCTTGGCAATGCAACTGCTTGAACACCAGCTTCAAAGTTCAATGACATGGAGAGCGTCAAGAGAGATATGTCGTAATCTAAGTTTTCTTTCCTATAATTGGGGTTTTGATTAATTTTGCTAACCTGGACAACTTGTCCTCCTGATCCCCTGTAGGAAGATCCAGCGCGTATGCTAAGCGAGGAAGCTGACGATCTAGAAATTTACATTTTATTACATGAATACTTGTTACAATTCTGTTAATTACCCGTCAGTGCAGTGAGCAGCAGTAACAGCGTAGTTCTGGCTGATGATAGTAGCACCGCATATGTGGCTTCCGAAGTATTGAAGAGACAATTGGTAGGGGTAATCTTCGATTTCAACGGCTTCACCACCAACAATCCGATCATCCAAAGCTGGGATAACGTAAGAAATACACTTACCAGCAGCGAGAGCCAAGAAGGCTGAGACTAAAGCCAACTTGAACATTTTAAATCGATTTGATAAATTTTACCACCGGTAACCGATTTTATAGTGAAGCAAAGCGCTTACCAGGACCGGCGCTGCGTCCTGTATTGGGTAAAACATACTTGTGATTTCCCCTTATTACCATACATAAAACATGTTTCATCATCTTTTAAAGTTTTTTTATTTTTTTCATACGCTGTATTGCGAAAATGTAAAGTTTCCCCATTTAATTGTGCCATCCTTGTAGCTTATCATTCTTCATTTAAATAATTCACAATCATTTATGACTTTATTTTTACAGAAAAAATATATTCATATAATAATAATTTATTGGCCAGACAGAAAATATACAAACAAACAAACAAATACATCCTATAAATAAATATAAATGATAAGACCAAGTAATAATAATTCGAAAAAGAAATTGGATTCTTTGGATTTAAATTTCTCGGACAGGGTAAGGTATCGGTCAAGGAGAGGGACTATTTTGGTTTTGGAGTAAAGGAGATTATTAGGTGGATTGTGTAGAGGATTATTAGGATGTCTTATTTTGGTGAAGAAAGGAATGGCGGAACGTTCGGATACAGACAGGTTTTTTAGGATGGGATTTTGGCATTAGGAAAGTAGTGGGAAAGATTTGTAAATGGATGTTTGGCACTATATGCATATTTCGGAAAAAAACGGGATCTGGGTATAATGTTAGATTTGAGTTGCTCGGAATGGGAATTGAAGTTGAGTTTACGTTTAAGAAGGATTCCAAGGTATTAAATAAGTGGTGATGTGAAAATAGATTATCTAACGTAAAAATTGTATTTTAAATTAATACAGTTCATTTTCGTTGTTTATATTTTTTACTATTTATTCTTACTAGCTTTAATTTTTTGATCACATTTTCTATGAGTATTCTATATATTTTTTTATTTAAATTCAGATTCCTGCATTTTCTGTAATGTATTCACGCATATTTGGAACGCTGGAGTAGACACCTGGATAAGTGGGACGCCCACATTCGTTTCCCCAGGAAACGATACCAACAAGTTGTCCATCAACAACCAGTGGACCACCAGAATCACCCTGAAAATAAAGAACCATAAATAAAACTTAAATTTTTCAAACCCAAAAATAACATACTTGACAAGCGTCCTTGCCTCCTCCATTAACTGCAGCGCAAATCATGCGGTCGGTGATGGCAGCGCCACCGTAAGCTATTACGCAATCTTCGTGTGAAACAATGTCAACATGAACGGCTTGGAGTTGGATAGGAGAATTTCCACCTACGGTAAGGGTACCCCACCCAGTAACAACTGAGTCTGAACCAGCTGAGACTTCCTGGTTCAATTTTGGTAAATCTACAGGTTGAACTCCTGATCCAAAGTTGAATGGTTCAGACAGTTCCAAGACAGAGATGTCATAATCAACGGTGTAGTCATTATATTTTGGATTTTGATAGACGGCTTCCACCGGATCCCTTGACGGAAGATCCAGCGCGGACAGCCAATGTAGAAGCTGGAGATCTACAACTGACAATTTACACCAAGAAAAATTAATATATCAGTATAATTACCCATTAGTGCAGTGAGCTGCAGTCACAGCATAGTACTTGCTGATTATTGATGCACCACAGATGTGGCTACCATAGAATTGAAGTGACAATTGGTATGGATAGTCTTCGATTTCGACAGATTCACCTCCAACGATGCGACCATCCAAACGTGGGATTATTGGAGATGCTGTAAGTAATAATATAATTAAAGTTTTTTTTTAATGAATACGAAAGTATTCATACCAACTGCAATAGCCACAAGGGCTGAGACTAAAACCAGCTTGAACATTTTATCGATTTAATAATTTACCGGATTAGAAAGCGAATTTATAGATGTAACTTTCTTATCATTGATGATTTAAATACAATACTATCTGGTATTGCTTTATTTATAGAAAAAAATCTATTTATAAGTAAATAAAAGGATTCTAAAGTATGTTATATTTTTATCACTACTTATCTATAAATTGAAAATGTGTTACTAATTATGTATTTATTTGGAAATATTAACACTCAAAATAAAATATTTTTGTAAAATACATAATTGAAATTGGTTACATATTTAATAGTTTCCTGGTATTAAAATCAATTAATAAAATCAGATATGCTTATCGTTATATAAAAAAAGGGAATATTTCAAGTATATTTTGCAACATTTCAACTTGAAATGAAAACGTTTTAATTTAATTTATATACACTTACATATATTATAGATTTTGGCGTTTTTTCTTTTAATAATGAAATTTTCTATGAAATTGGTAAAATTTCCAACAATATAAATTTATATAGAAATAATTTCCAATATTGATAAACTGTAATATTTATTACAAAAATAAATTACCAAAAATTAAAATAACTTAATACCTTAATACAATTACTAAAATAAAATTCAAACGGCTATTGACCATAGGTCTTTCTACCCGTTATAAAATTATTATATTTGTTTTAATGGACAAGAAAATAAAGCATAATTTAATAAGTAACAACTTACGGATAAAAAAGATATAAATTGAATATTACGTTTTTCATTTTAATTATTATAAATTCGTATATAAAATACGACCAAACAAGAGCTAAAAATAATTGTAAACATATAATAAACCCAACAATAATACTACATATGGCAGCATCTTTGCAATAGATAAAAAAATACGTAAGTGTAGAGCGAAAAAAGTTTTTCACATTTGATTTATTTACTTTAATTTTAATATTGCTCATATAATATGATGGATGTTATATAAATTAGTATTGCTTTAGATAAAACGTTTATTAATAAATATGTTTGCAAGGAAAAATATTAATAATTGAATTTTTTTTTCAAGTTAAATTTTTATTGTTTTTCTTTTCAGGGTATAATATTGATTTTTATAATTTAGATGCCGGCTTTTTCGGTGATGTAGGCACGCATGTTTGGTACGCTGGAGTAAACTCCTGGACTGGCTGGACGAGCACATCCGTATCCCCAAGAGACGACACCAACGAGTTGTCCATCGACGACGAGTGGGCCACCAGAATCACCCTAGAAATAAAGAAAACAAAAGTAAATAACTAAATTCTAAACTGTCAAACACAAGAAATGGCATACTTGGCAGGCGTCCTTGCCACCTCCGTTAACTCCGGCGCAGATCATGCGGTCGGTGATGGCGCTGTCTCCGTAAGACTTCTTGCATTCCTTCTGGGAGATGATTCCAACGTGGACGGCTTGAAGTTGAGAAGGAGAACCACCGCCTTCGGAAAGGGCACCCCATCCGGAAACAACGGAGTCAGAGCCAGCTGGGACTTCTTGGTTCAATCTTGGCAAACCGACTGGTTGAACACAAGCACCAAAGTCCAATAGATCGGAAAGCTCCAAGACAGAGATATCGTAATCGATGTTGCGGTTGTCGAATTGGGGATTTTGGAAGATATTCCTAACTTGGACAACTTGTCCACCAGATCCCTTGATGGAAGATCCAGCGCGGACGGTCAAAGAGGAAGCTGGGGATCTACAATTTACAGTTAATATCATGTATTAACTAAGCGTTGAAATTTGAGTACCCATTGGTACAGTGAGCAGCGGTGACGGCGAAGTTCTTGCTGATGATGGAAGCACCGCAGATGTGGCTTCCGTAGTATTGAAGAGACAATTGGTATGGGAAATCTTCGATTACGACGGTTTCACCACCAACGATGCGACCATCCAAGCGTGGAGGCATCGGGGATGCTACAAATGAAATAATTGTAAGTAAACTTATGGAGAATGTAAATTATATACTTACCAGCTGCGAGAGCCACAAGGGCTGATACTAAAGTTAACTTGAACATTTTGAATCGGTATGATTTGTTGTTTAACTATGGACCGAATTTATAGTAATTCCTTATCATTCATGATTTAAATACAATAATATCAGGTATTATTTTTAGAAAGACATCTTACTATATATATTTATAAATAAAATCACTTTCGTTGAATATTGTGATGATCATCTCGTTCATACTCTAATCTATTTTTTTTTTATTATTAAAAAATATTTATAGATAAACTAAATATAGATGATAAATCATAAACAGATAAAATATTTCATTAGACAAATTAACTATTAAAATTAACGAGAAACATCTTTACTTATATAATATATAATAATACTAATTAAATTAATAATACCTTTTTTATGTCGTGTAATTTTATTTACAATCTGTTCATCATTGTGAACATTGAGTAAATTTAAGATCGCGGTTGACATTACATGAATAATTTTTCCCGGTGAATATTTACCGTTATGATGATTTGATTTTTTAATTTGTTGCTTTGCTGTTGTCTTGTAGGTTAACTTCTGTTCCTTTGACTATGAATATGCTATCTTTAACACTGTTTTTGTCCATCAACTTAGCTGAAGGTCCGTATGCTGAACCTTATTCATTTGACTATCCATCTGTGATGAACGATGTCCATATTGCTGCAAGCGTGGGTAGGGCGACTTAACCATTTGGCTATATTTATCAAATTTTTATTATTATTCGTGAGCTTACAGTTTTGTAGTAAAGAAGAACTATACACATATATATGGAAAATATACCTAAAAATAATAATTATATATAGTTTTATGCAAATGATATAGGTACAGTAATACCACGCATAGTACGATGTGAAAATTTCAAAATAAACAAAATTTTGACAAAAATAAGTTCAGAAAATTATTTTACTACATAAATTATTATAATCTCAAGATTCATTTTGCGCTGTTTAATTTTATACTTTTTTATAGTCCTTGATTAGTCCGGTTTCAAATATAACTACTTATCCGCTTCAAAGTAATTCTTTTTTATTATATAGTTATTATTATATATTTATATTAAATTCGTAAGATCCTTGTGATGCAACATTTGCCTTCTATATGCAAATCAACTGATAAGCGATACTAACAGACAAGTACACATACGAACACGCACATGCAATTCTCTTAGCACTCTAATTGGAGGTTGATTTAACATTTTGTTCTTTACTGTGTTTACATAACATCAAAGGAACTAATCTAGACTTTATACATATATATTACTTCTATTGTAAATTGTTAAAGTTATTCCAGTTACGATGTAAAACCATTATTATTACTGTTTCCCTTGAGGACGAGTAAATAAATTAAATTAATACAAATATACTAAATTTGTATAATTATTTGCTAAGTACTTTAACCCCTAAGCGGCTTGAAGTATTGTATAAAGTGACTCCCCTGGTGGCTAGTGTTTTTATTTATGAATCATTATGCAAATATATTCGTCATAAGCGCTACGCAATATAATAAACATTGACGAATATATACTACATATTGACTTAAGCGGTTAAATAATGTATTATCATTGAGTTTGAGATTAGTAAAATTAATTCTAATGAAAATAAAACAGTAGATTTTTTTTTATATTTAAATTTTTCGGTAAAATCAATTGACTTACAAAATTCTAAATAATTTTATTATGCTTATATAAGTATATAATATTTTTTATTTATTTATAATTGAAAAAAAAAGAATTTATATAAAATAAATATAATTATAAAAATAATTTATTGTGTACATAATAAATATAAATTTATAAATCACATGAAAAAATTCAATTAACAAAATACATAATATTTGTTGAATTATTTTGGAAAAAACAAATGTTAAATTGTATGAGATGTAAATTGGCAGATGAAAAAAAGAGATAGTGAAACGAAGTAAGTTATACGAATGGAATAATAATAAATTTGATGGGTGAGATGAGTTGTGGATGCGCCGGGTAACGACTTTAGTTTTGTCCCGGAGTGCATAACTGCGTTACATCCAGATGAAATATACCGTGCAAGTCTCAGTAAACTTTATTTGCAGTGCACTGTACTATGTTTGTGTGTGCAACATTAGTTGTTGTCGTTGATTTAATGTTACATCTTATTGCGATTCTTCGAAGTTGCCGAGAAATAAGGGAGAAACGAATCCGCCTTTTTTTTATTTTATTTTATTTCATCCTGCCGATTGTTTTTGACATATGGCAAAATTAGGGAGAGGCAACATCGGAGCAAAAAAAAAGAAGCAAACTCGATAAACCTTTTTTTCTCTCTCCATCACGTATCCGAAACATTTTACAGTGGAAACGAAATTCAGTTGTTTGATGTCCGCTTTACGGCAAAAGCAACTGTATTTGTCTTCGAATACAACTTTGGCCCTTGGGTCAGGCTAATCCGGTCGATTTGCGTTCTTCTTCGGGAGTCACGGAAGGGTGGTTCGGTTTTCGCGGAGAACAGTTTTTGGAGAGTGGATGAGAGAATGGTTTTTGCATCTCCTTCGCTTTTTAGGGGAGCAGAACGCGTAGCATTCGCGCTCGACTAAACAAGCTAATATCCCTCCCGGTTTACCCCAAAAGCTTCGGCTAATTTATTTAAGAAACGCGAAAATAAATTACACCAATCGAAAAACATATTGATTCGTGCTGTCAAATCCACACGCTTCGATTCTAAAACCAAAAGAGAATTGTAATTATCAACAGTCGCAAAAATCTTGTTTATAACGCTTTGATCACTTTCGTAAAAGGAAATTTATTATTTTTTTATTAAAAAAGGCTACAAGAATCAATACGCTCTACATGGTAATTAATTGTGGTGTTGGGATGGGGAAAAGAACCGATGTTTACTTCAGCGTTAATCAACCCTCGCTATCAACCCCCACGCATTCTTTTTTTTTCACTGTCTTGTGCTTATTTATTTCGCATTTTATTCGGTTTAATCAGCCTACACAGGGGATTATTTTAAACAGAACATTAAAGAGATTCATTAAAAGATTATATGAGTAAAAAAACGCTGCAGAGAGGTGATCTCGAAGGGCTTGGGGATCGGATCTATTTAGAGAGAGGTCCGGGGATGCTCTCGTAATATTGGGGTCATCCATTTAGACCGTTTCGGATCGAACATCCGATACCCAATTCCATTCGTGTTGTGACTGTTTCGGTCAACTAGTTTATCTCTTTAGCAACTATTCAACGGTATTCAACAGCTTGAATATCAACAAGCCCTACACACGATCGATACATCTTCTCCTTTAAGCCCTACTTTAAATCCTATACATGTATATATTGCTTTTCTGCCAATCCGAAAAGCAATTAAGTAGAAAACAAAATGCTATAAATCGCATACAATCTGACATTTTGTAAAACATGCTTTTAATTTCATGACTGTTTGGCACTTTCAATTTAATTAAACTATTTATTCAAGACGGAAAAAAATATTTTCATCAATAAAATGTGCTGAAACTACATATAATCAAAGTACATAAATTCGTACAATTCGTTTCGATAGTCGGTTGTAAATGAACATTCACGAAATATCCAACATAACTTAAATAAAAGATAGTATGTGTTATGAATTTCCAAACTCGCATTTTGTTAGAACTACATATTTAAATTTTGTTTCAGTAAAAACTTGATATTACTTACTTTTACATGAAATAAGTTGTTTGTCTTGTCTGGCTTGCAATTTATACATGTTAACATATCGTTTTCCTAGGTAGTAGCGGACCTCCCATGAAATAAGTTATGAGTGAAAATGAAGTAAAAACATAATTTGAATGTTACGAGACAGATGTTGACTTACATCATCATTGTACGTCCGTAAGGATATTTATATCTTAGTTTGGACACACCGCCATTAACAACCATATACGAATTATTGAAGTAACGTCAAGTAAAAGTTATCATATGTCGTGAATTCCCATACTCACATTGTAAACAGACTACATATTTAAATTATATTTCAATAATATCATGATTTTATATTCTTTTACTTTGCACATTTTGCATTATTTGTACTTTAGTTTGATCAAAAGTTTAGAAATAACAAATATTTTCTAACATGCGTTAAGTATGTAGTAATATTATCTTTAGCAAATATGAGAATAAATTGATTATTTTAAAATCGTGGCCCTATTTTTTTGTTATTTTAATGTATGCAATAAATTTTAGTTTACTATAAGGAATCTAATTAAGCGGGTTTTTTTTTAAAAAAACACCAATCTTTCACTTTTCCGCAAAATAAAAACAACAATACATTTTTTTAGTCACAAGATACAAATAATCCTAAATAAACTGGAAACAAATCCAACATACAAATTAATTATACCAGTATCGCCCAAAGCCCGTGAAGGAACACAACAAATAATGATTGTACATTTTTATACTGACAACTAAAGAACACTATTAAATCTAATCTAGGAATCTAATTATAATTATTTCAAAAAGTTTAGAATTTTATATTTCATTTAAATGTCATTTATAAAATATATTAAATTTATTTTCCGTGTTAATTATAAATGAAATATTTGATTGATTTCTGCAAACAGCTTCCGTTTTTGCGAAAGTGTTAATTATTGCAAATATTCATATTTATTATGAGAGGTTGCGTGGGAATATAATTTAATATTAACTATTTATGTTTAAATTGTACCATTCATTAATAAACAAACGTTTTCATAACATTTATATACGTAGATCATGGAAATAATTGCACATATTCCAAGTAAAAATAATACTTCTTTTAGTTAGATTTAATATTATCAAATCCTTGAACATATTAAACAAATAAAACTCTTTTAATTATACTTTAAGTAAATTATAATTGTATCCAAAATTTTATACATAATGTGTTTTCTGTATTTCTTGTATGATTGTAATTCTTCGATTAGTCCGGATTCAAAAACTCGCAAATATTGGCTAATCCGATTATCCAGACTATGTGAGGTATTATACTAATCAGGTGTTAAAATATAAAAAAGTAAGTATATGAAATTATAAAAATTAAATTAATTATTGAATTATTGACATAATCAC